ATTTGCATTTTTACAAAACCATTTTGGGCGTAGAAAAAAGTGAATTAGAGGGGAAGCAACTGAAATTGTTAAGAGGTTTTAAACCAACGAATTATAGTATTGGGTTATCGGAGAAGTCATGACATATTTTTTCTATGTTTTTCATTGCAAAAATGCGTCGTGACTTCTCCAACAACCCAATAGAAATAAAAGGAAGGGGACAGGTTTAGGCAATGTTAAGGAGGTAGAACATTCATGGCTGAATGTAAACCTAGGAGAGAAAGAAATATTAACAGTGACTTCCATTTTTCTGGTGTAGGCAACCTAGAGTAAGAAAAATGAGTACAGAGGTGGCCGGGGGTGTGAACACAGAGATTGGGTGTGAAAATACAGATTTAAGGGTCTTTGGCATACATTATAGTTAAAGCCATGGATGTAAGTGGTATTTCTTAAGAAGACTGTGTAGAGAAAAGTGGCAGAGGATTGAATCTTGAGAAAGAACAACAAGGGATTGGAAAATGAAAGAGATTCTGGGGAAAATACATAGAAGAAGTGGACAAAACAGTTGGAGAACAATCAGAATTAAAGAATATGCTATAAAAGCCAAAGTAAGGAAGACTTTTCAAGAAAGAGTGATCCTAATTAAACTTACTATGCTAATCATTTCCATATATGAGTATATATCAAATAATTGTTTTATACATCCTAAACCTATACAATGTTTTATGTTAATTATCTCTCAATAAAACTGGAGGAAGAAGGGAGTGATCAGTAATGTCATATGCTTCAGAAACTAAAGACTAAAACTATTTTTTCAATTTGACAGTCTGTTTAACCAAGGTAAAATGATATAAAGTAAAATAGCAATTTGAAATAGTAAAATTTAAACAGAAATTAATAAATTAGAAAAACAAAACTAATCTGAAAATCACTTTAAAATAATTATAAAACTATTCAAGAAAAAGCAGGAAAATATAAATGAGAAATGGATATACTGTAAAGATAGAGGGAATTTATTTGAATTACAAAATAATATAGTGTAAATAAAAGTCTATCTTTGAAAACTTATTTTTAAGGCTAGTGTACCCCTCATACCACAACCTGATAAAGATATCACAAGAGAAGGAAATTAAATCAATCACACTTATGAATATAAATGTAACATTTAAATATTAGCAACTGAAATTTATTTAGCAGATAATTTTTTGAGAGCCTG